GCGGACCAGGGGCCGAATTATAAGCGTTCCGAGAAGGGCCCCTCCGAATGATCACATTCTTATGTACCTGGGCTTGCGTGGCACGCAGATCTTGGGTGATCCCGAGTTCCTGTCGCCACAGCGGGCGCGACGGAATCAGGATGACTTGGCGGGGTGCTTGAGAAAGGCGAACGGAGAGTTTACTTCTTTAGAAGCGGTGGGGACACGTCTGCCAGATAGTGGGGACATTTTGAGGGCGCTGTTGAGCCGCGAGCGGCCAGATGACTTGTTCAAACGCTTAGATGATACGCTGGTCGTTGCAGGCCGACAGCTATTCAATCACCAGGTGTCCAACGATCCAGCGCACAGACAGGAGGCTGGCAGAGCGTGCCGTACTTCTACGAAAGCGAGCTCGGCTTCGACGTTCCCGTCTCGGCATGGGCGAGGCTTCTGCAGCACTTCGCGATTGCGGGAAGCAGCTGAAGGAGCTTAGCCAGCGACGACCACAGCGACAATATTTTCAACGAGAGCGGCAGGCTGCAATTTTGGATGCTATTGATGAGGCGCGGCAGGCGCGACGCATAGCGGAGGCGATGCGGCATTCCAGGGCAGCAGCTCGGTGCAGGCATGGGCCCAAACGACGCAACGGGAGATTACTTCCGGGCGGCCTGTTCTCAGAGCAGGAGTTGCTGGAGCTCTGGTGGCAGAAGGGCAGTCCGGGAGGGATGTCAGCATGTAAGACCGACTTTGACGAATTTACGGGGGCTGTTCCTGCAGTAGATCCCCCCCACACGCTTCGGTAGAGGATTGCGACGTGGCTCAGAAAGATCAGTGGAGGGTGACGAAGTGTCTGCGACCGGCGAGCAAGAAAAGAGTCGCGCCGCTAAGGGCCCAGCCCGCAGACGTCGATAGCCAGGGCCCCGTCGCCGACGTCGATAGCCAGGGCGCGGGTGCAGGTCGCCAGCGCGAGGTTCCTCATATGAAACTGGTTGGAGAAATTGTCGATGGGGGGATTTGGCAGGGCCCGCGCAACCAATCGCACGCCGACGCGATGGCACGCGAGTTCGGGGGCCCGAATGTGGAAGCAAACAAAAAGCGCCAAGCCGGGCCCAAATGGGCCGCCGAACGGTGCGCGTCTTGCCGACCTTGGGGGAAGCGTTCTGTGCAGGCCTCCATGGAGTTTTTCCCACGGCGACAGAGCGCGGCTTCTGTCCAGACAGGTGCAGAGAAGATGCGATTTTAGTGGTGCATCTCTTGTGCTGGAGGTACCGACGGGCTGGGCACTCGTTTTGCGTGCACCTATGAGGACATGACGAACGCGTCCGCGAGTGGGTCATGGTCCGATCTGGATAACAGTTGAACTTCACGCCGGGCCCCAGGACGTTGATCTATGTATAGGGCGTTTTCGAAGGGGGGGCGTCCATCAAGATGGGGGAGGATGGCGCAATGAAGGCCCCATACGTCGTGGAATTGTTTCGCGGCGCGCTTTCGAGGCCCACTCTGCAATGGCTGCGCGGGCTCAGGGAGTTCAATTTCTCGGCGGCGGGCCTTGCGGCCCGATGGGGAGCATGTCAAGTGGATGTCGGATGTTGCCCGCGCGCCGACGATATTTTTTCCCGCGCGCGTTGCCCCTCCCGCGCTTCAGCGGGGCGATTCGGAGGTCCTGAAGCAGGCTGACGAGGCGTCGTCCGAGGATCTGCAGGATATGCTACGCCTGGGGCGTTTCGAATCAAGAAGATCAAAAGATCAACTTCGCTTCCATGGGCGAGGGGCCTTACGGTGTAGACAGTGGGCGCGGGGTCGGGGCTGGAAATTTCTGCTGGGGCAACTCCTGGGAAGACGTGCGATACGTGGGTCCAAAAATTGACGCGCTGCAGTCGGCGGCCGCAGAGACCCGTCTTCGAATTCTATTGCCGAGTCCTATCACGTCCAGGGACAAATTTTGCCCCTGAAGGTTTCGTTTCCATGGGGGCGGACACTGTTGTTCAGTTTTGCGCAGAACGCGGCGCTGGCTGGATTGGAACCAATGCTGCTCACGCCCGCGCATCATCGTGAGCTCGACTCGCCCCCGGCTCGGCATGGGGGGGCGGGCGGTCTTGCGGAATGCGGCGATGAAGGTGAGAGACCGCATTCGATCGCGGCCGAACACGCGCGGGATACCGCACTGGCGCCTAGCTAGCTCGGAGTCGGAGATGTTGGTCAGTCTTTTGAGTAGGTATCGCAGCTGGGTCTTATCCCCCTCCAGTCTTATCCAGGAGCAGCGTTTGATGTTCGGGCCCATGGGGCTGGGCGAGGAGGGGCGCGCCGTCGACGCGTGACAGATGGCCTCTGGCTCTTAGGTCGCTAGCGTCTCCGCGGCGCCGACGCGTGCAATATGATTTTCGCCGAGCGTCTGAACTTCTGGACGACGGCGGAGCACGCGCGCGCTCCTGCTCGCTGCCCAGGCGACCGTGGGTGAAGAGCTTCGCGAGTTCTAGTTCAGAATTGACTTTGCGTAGACCAGTGCCCGCGAGTCGTCTGCCGTCATCCCCATACGAACCTCACAGAGCAGGAGGTCACGGAGAACCCTGGGGCCCCCTTGGAGCACCCCTGGCAATGTGAATGGATGGAGGATGAAGGCGGCACTCGCGGGGGGACATTTCAAATGAGGAGGTGTCTCCTGAAAAACGCGCGACGAAAACACCGAGCACACCGTCTATGTTTGCCAGTTGCGCCGGCTGACGCGCGCGCTGCGCGTCGATGGTTTTCGCCGGCAGTCAGGCAAATGTCTAGAAGCACCTCAGAGAGCCGTAATCAACGAAGCATGCCCGCCCCGAGGTTCGTCTACATTCGCGGAAACTAGACCTCCCGTTTCTTTGGCCTGCGTTCTCCGCAACTATCAATCGAGCGGCGTGGGTGATCTTTGCAGCCAGTTTGCTAAGGGGTATCTTCCAGTGGAGATTGATCCTTCACTGCCAGAAGTTTTTTTTGCCATTTATCTCGAGGGCGAGACTGCGGCAGATGGGCGCGGAGGAGGCCGCGGGCTTGCCGAGGCTGACGCGGGCGAGGGGCCCGTCGCCCGCCCCGCTCGCCAGGGGGGGCCGCAGCGCCGCCAGCGGCGAGGCCCGCAGGGCGGCTGGGCGCAAATGTGCCGCAGAACCTGGCGCCGCCGCTCGCCAAGTTGGCGCTCACGGTCAGCCGCGCGCCGGCGGGCCCCAGCAGCGCCGTCCACGGGGCGCGCGACGCCAGCGCGGGCGCCGGCATCGCGGCGCAGAACGAGTAGGCAGGCCAGGACTACAACGTCCAATCGCAGCTGCTGAAGCAGAAACAGAAGGACGGCGAAGTGGTAGATTACGCAAACAGGGGCCCGCCGTTCGTGACAACATTCACGCAGGCGCCCCGCTGGGCGGCCACGCTGTCCAACGAACCCGAGGCCAAGCAGGAGAAGTGGATGGCAGCAGCACGAGAGCCGTGGACGGACAGGCTGGCCAAGATGTCGATCCAGGAAGTCGGGGTGCCGGCGCTACACAGGCAGCGGAAGAGGAACAAAGCCAAGCAGGAGGGCAATGCGAGGGGCCGCCTGACCTACGCGATCGACTACACGAACGTGCCTCGACCGACTCTGATCGGCATCGTTGAAGACATCCTGAAGAGCATCGGGCCTGAGAGGCGGATTCGCCCAGCCCCGCGGGGCCCGCTGGGGCGCGGCGAAGCGAAGCTGCCTGCGGAGCTCCGCGGCAAGTGAGTGCATTTGGGAAGGCTAGCGCCACAGCCCCAGAGCAAGTAATTGGTAGCAGCACCAGCAGCAGCACGCGTCCGATGAATTCGAACTCGTTTCGCCGCGCGCCCTTGGATCCCCGAGGTGTCAGAATCGAAGAGAAGCCCCAGGGGAGCTAATTCGGCGAGGTTCGATTTCTTATGAAGTTTTGGAGTTGCGACCCCTTCCCGCTCCCACGACCTATAGCCTGGGATTTTTCACCGCCCCCACGTTTCAGCGGGAGGGGGGGTCTTCCAGGCAAAATGGCACGGGGAAGGACAACAACGGGGGAGGCCGGTAGCAACCATTAGTCCCTAAGGTGGGCCCCTCGCAAGCTGCGCGCTGTCCAGGGGGCGCTCGTCGGGGCGGCGCGGCGTCCGTCGCGTGCTACGGGCCGCACTTTCAAGGTTTAGCTATGGATTCGCCCCCCAGAGTTCCCCCTGCACTTTGGAGCCAGGTAGTTGTTCGCAGGCGCCAGGCAGACGTCAGAGTTGAACTCCAACGGGCCCGATCCCGATCCCTATCCCCGATCACTTCTTCACTCCTTCTCCTCCTCCTCCTCCTCATCCTCCTCCTCCTCCTCTTCAGAGGCCGTCCTCCTCCTCCTCCTCCTCCTCCTCCTCTCGTCCTCCTCCTCCTCCTCCTCCGCCTCCTCTACTTTTTCCTCCTCCTCCTCCTCCGCCTCCTCGCCCTCCTCCTGCTCCTCCTCCTCCTGCCTCCTCGTCCTCTCCTCCCCTCCTCCTCCTCCTCCTCCTCGCCCTCCTCCTCCTCCTTTTCCTCGTCCCCCCCCCCTCCTCCTCCTCGTCCTTCTCCTCCTCCTTTTCCTCGTCCCCCCCCCCCCCCCTCCTCCTCGTCCTTCTCCTCCTCCTTTTCCTCCTCCTCTTCCTTTGCCTCCTCCCCCTCCTCTTTTTGTTTCTTCTCCTCCTCCTCCTCTTCCTCCTCCTCCTCTCCTCCCTGTCCTCGTCCTCCTCCTCCTCCTCCTCCTCTTCTTCCTCCTTTTCTTCTCCTCCTCCTCTTCTCCTCCTCTCTCCTCCTCTTCTTCCTCCTCTCCTCCTCCTCCTCTTCTTCCTCCTCCTCCTCAGAGGCCCCCAGGAAGCGGGCCCCCCTCCTCCACCTCTTCCCCCCCCCCCCCCCCGCGGACAGACGCGTTCGCCGTTCGGAAAAGGAGAAAGGGAAGGAGGAGGGAGGAGGAGGAGGAGGAGGGTGGAGGAGGAGGGTGGAGGAGGGGGGCCCTCCTCCACTTCCTTCACCCTTCCTTCCGAGCCTAGGCCACGTGCCCCCAAAGGCCGCGACGGTGGCGGCCGCGGCGCGCCAGGCGCTGGGCCACCCGTGGCTCAAGAGCCGCGCTCCGGGCGGGGGGCGGGGCTCCTTCTCCTTTCGGGATGCTGCTAGATAGCTCGGCAGCGTTCGGGCGTGTGCATGTCTTCCCTGGCGAGGGCCATCCAGGAGCCTCTTGGACCATATCGCGAAAAGGGCACACGCGAAATCGAACAATGCACAGGGACTGGACGTCCGAGTGACGGCGAGGGAGGTGCCCCTGGCCCAAGGGGCACAGGGAATGAACGTCCGAGCGATGGCGAGAGAAGCGCCCCTGCCCCCAGGATTTCCAAGGAGGCCACCCTAGCCCCCAGAGCACCCCTCACGAGACCCAGGGGGCCAGTGGATCCGACATCGAGCGAAAAGGTGGGGGCACCCGGTCCTCCTCCCCAGGCCCCCTGGAGTCGCGGACCGAATCACCACGGAAGGTTTTGCGCAATGCTATGGATCTGGGGGCCCTGGCCGGGCCTCGGGACCGTGACAAGAGAAGATTCGGGATGAGAAACGGACTCTCTTGTGCCGTCTTCAAGGCCATCTTGGACTCTTGGATCATCTTGGGCGAATTTGGACGCCATTTTGGCCTTGTAGGAGGCCAGTGTGGGCCATCTTGGAGGCACCTAGACCGGGAAAGGCCTTTGCAGCCACCTCGAACGCAGCCTTCCGGGTGGCCGGCGGCATCGGCCGAAGCCCCAGGGGGATCTTACACCTAACCCCGAGTCTTCAAACCCAGCACGCCGGGCATCCCTGTGGCAAGCCAACCCAGGGCGGCGTTTCAAGTGGCTTTCGGCACATCTCGACATTGTGGCTGGGTTGTATGTCGGAGGCCTCCTGGATGCCTTTGAGAATCTCTTGGGCGGCCTCTCGGATGCCTCTTGGAGGCAGTTGGGGGGATGTTTTGCGGGGCTCTTGGGACCTGACTTTGTGCTCTCTGGGCCTCTTATGGGCCTCTTGGGACCTCCTGAGCGCACCTCGGGGGCTCCTGAGGGGAATACGGGGCCAGCTTGGGGTGGAGGGCTCAAAATGTCAGTTCGTGTTCCCCTATTTGGGCCGTCTTGGGGGCCTCGTGGGCCCCTCTTGGGGGCTCTTGGGCCGCTTGAGGCGATCTTGGGCACCGTTTGGGCAGTCTTGGGCGCTCTGAAGACCGAACTGGCCGCAATGCGAACACCATTCGAAGGCCATGTGATGTTGAACGATTTGGGCTCTTTGGGGGCCGCCCTCCAGGGCGTCCAAGACGGCCCCACAGGCGCCCGAGAGTTCTTCGGGACCGTCACCGCGAAGCCACGTTGGACATGCATGCCCCAGACAACGCGCTTTGGCCCCTCGATGGGTCACGCGGGGACCCCTTGGGAGCGCCCGAGAGCGCCCGGCACTCCTGGCAGCGGGGCCCCTGACATATGTTCACAGATCCCACTACAGAGAACTCGAAGGGACCTGAGAACGCTCCAACTCGTGCTTCAGAGCACTGTGGCGGATTTCGCGACGTTTCGCGATGATCGTGAAGCTGTCGAAACAGAGGGGTCTGGGCCATCAGCCACACACCGCCTGACACATGCCTACAATCTGGGCGCGAAGGGCACGTGCCTTCCTCCCTGGCGGCTCCTCCTTGGGTTGCTCCAGCGCCACGCCTGCCATCCGCGATGGCCAGTGGGCTCTCAATAGACAGGGAGCCTGGGCCACAAAACACGCAAGCCGCCTGAGACCTCCCCGCAGTGCCACATCCCGTGGCGGCTCCTGCCCCTTGGAGTGCCCAAGAGCCCAGCCTGCCACGTCGCGGTAAGCATGGGGCAGCCAACAGAAGAGTGAGCCGGTGTGTGCGAGAGTGTCGCGTGAGTGGGCCTGCGTGTGAGTGGGTCTGAGCGCGGGTAAGTCGGAGGAGGTGTGAGTCCGAGTATCATTAAGTATCAGGTCTAAGTATGGCTAACCAAATCAGTATGACCGCCTGTGAGCCTGCGTGTAGGTAAGTCCGAGTTCGAGTGAGTCTGAGCATAAGAAATGTGAGTGTGATTAGAGGGGGCAGTAGGCAGGAACTACGGAGGAAGGAGGGAGGCAAAGGAGTCACATTGAGTATACTAAACCCACGCTCAGGAGGGAGGAGTGATGAGGGATGGGCGTGAAGGGTAGCAGGTCGAACACAGGAGGGAGCACCTGGCTTCATAAAAAAAACAAAAAAAACAAAAAAAACAAAAAACGTTCCCTTCTCCTCTAATGCTACCGCTATTGTCCCCCGCCTTCCCTGCACACGTTGCTTCACACACGGTTGTCTGGAGCCGGTTTTCATCATCCGCGTTTCCCATCGGAGCGTTCCCGGCCTTTCAAAAAATGGAGCACCCGCCGCAGCGCGGTTCACGCGTCCGGGTCGGCGCTCCGTCCCCCGCCGTTCCGAGTGGCGTCCTCGCCGCAGCGCGGGCCGCTCTCCTGGAGCTCATTCGCTCCTCGCCTCTTCCGGCCTCTCATGTAAATTGCTGGGCCACTGGGGACAGGCTGCGAAGATACGGTCGATCTTCATTCAAGGACGGAAAAACCACCCCGACCCCGACAATTCGCGTTTACTCAACAGCCCTGGGCGTTTACTAAACAGCCCTGCCCTGTTCGATTCCTTCCATGGGCGCGTTTACTAAACGGCTTCGCTTGTGTGGGGGTGGATTTTCTGCTCTCTATTCATGGGGCCTGTCTTGTCATGTCGACTGTGTCCTTCGTTGCACTCCGACATGGGTTCGACGCGGGATCGGCGTGGATCCGGCACGGATTCGACACGGGTTCGATTCGCTCGACATGGATTCGGCATGGATGCGACATTGATGGTTACCGCGATGGGTCAGACGAGACCCCCCAGAGATGCAACAGAGATTTTCCCAGGTTGCCCCTGGCTGGCATCTGTGTGAGGACACTGCTCGTGCCTTACCGACAAGGCACTGAAGTCAAGAACAGACTGGGTTTTGAAGGGGCTCGATGTGCCCTAGGTCCTTCCATGGCTGCTTCCCTAGCGCCCAGTATCCACGCAGGCGGTATTGGGGCCAACAGAGGGGCGTCGTTCCTTTCCTTATCTAGCGGTCCTTATTTCAGCAGCCCGACTGTATCTCGGGTCAGGCGAAGGGGGGGGAGGGAACGTGTGGGTACGACACTTGCTGCGTGCAGCCGGTTTCTGTCCCGCCCCCAGGCGGCTTCCTTGATGCATGGCCGCCTCCAAGCGCCCCCTTTAGTAGCCTCCTCTTCATCCGACTTGATTCCACAGGCTTAAGCCACATCCGCCGACCCAAAAAGTTCATTCGTGGTGGCGTGCCAGGTTGCGTGCCCTTTCTACATCTCGAGGAAGGCCCCCCCAGACTGCGGCCGGACATCGGAGCTCAATATTCTGTGGAGACCCAAGGTAGAAATCTTCCGAAGAACCCAAGCCCTTCAGAAGAACAGTCGCCACGCACTGCATGGCGCAATCAATGGAGCAGGAAAGCCGCCTTCATCCTTCGCTGGACTGAGCGGGCGGTGGCGGAAGTGATGAGTCTTTTTCTCAGCCCGCCAGCCGTCTCGCGCAGTCACGTGGGAGGAGCGTCCATCGTGCCAAGCTCGTTGCCGTCACATACACACAAACATACACACGCGCACGCACGCACACACATGCACACGCACACGCACACACACAGACACAGACACAGACACACAGACACACACACACACAAACACACACACACACATTGTTCTCACTAGGATCGCCAGAGGGGGAAACGTGTCCTGAGGAGAACGAGTCCTGAGATGTTCGCAGTTTTCGGGCTCTCGGGGGCCTCCACGGTCCCCGGGACTGTGAGAAAACGACTCACGATGAAGATATCGTCTTGTAGGAAGGTCCTGGGGTCCAGGATCTATTTCCCTCAAGACCTGTTTCCTGCATGCTAGCGAAGAATCTCGTTCCTACTCATCGTTCGGAGGTTGGGGGTGTGAACGCGTAGAGACCCCCTATCGGGACATCCTTGTTGGTTGCTGCTCGTGCCAAGGCGTGCGGGCAAGGGGAAGCTGTGCGATGGCGGCCAGATGTGGGCCGCAGCTATGGCCAGGTCGGGCAAGATTCGGGAGGAAAAGAAGCACACAGACACAGTCAATCCTCGATTCCCCATAAAATATGGGAAAATATAAGAAAATATGGGGAATTCCTTTATTTGTGTGTATTTATTTGTGTGTCCTTGGGCCCCTTCAGAGAGGACTCCCGCGCCCGTCCAGGGGCTGCCCCGGAGTCATCCTTCAGAGGCCCACGCCGTGCTCTCGTCCAGCGCCGCGGCGCACGGTGTAGCACGCTCTCTTGCTCCTCGTCCTTCTCCTCGCCTTCTCCCCCTCCTCGCTGCTCCCCGTCGCTGCACGGCTGCTCCAGCTCCTGCTCCTCGGGGCCACAGCGTGCCTTCCCTCCGGGCGGGCACGCCTCTCCTCCTGCTCTTCCTGCTGCTCCTGCTCCCGCTCCCGTTGCCGCTGCTGCCTCCATGTCTTCACTGCTGGCTGCGGGGGGAGGCGCGGTGCACCAGCCCCTGGGGCACCGGTTTCTGGAGAAGGCTCACGCGCAGCGCCCTATCTCTCTGTTGCCAGGCTTGCAGGTAATTATGTCGAGGGTGAAGGAGAAGAGGGATCGACGATCGAGTCTTTTTGGCGTGAATGCTACGTAGCACCCCGCAGATGCGGATGAGAGTGAGGAGGCGGTAAAGACGTCGGAAGTCTGCGAGTTTCTGGAGAAGCCCGCTGCAGGCGCCAGAGTTTCACAAATTATGCAACAAGCCCGCCGGAGGCGCCGATTTTTCTTCAAACCAATGTGGATCGGTCGCGGGTGGGTCGCGGGTGGGTCGCGGATGGGTCGCGGGTGGGTCGCGGGTTAGGTTGCGACTAAGTCACGGGTGTGTCGCGGGTGGGTCGCGGGGTGGGTCGCGGGTGGATCTCGGGGTGGGTCGCGGGTGGGTCGCGGCGTGGATCGCGTGGTGGGTCGCGGGGTGGGTCGCGGGTTGGTCGCGGGGGGGAGGACGACGACGACGACGACGACGACAACAACAACAACAACAACAACAACAACAACAACAACAGCAGCAGAAACAACAACAACATCAACGCAACAAGCAGAATCCTCACCACGGATTCTCACTTCAGCCACGCACTCAGGGACAATGAATGA